ATCCATCTTGAATGCTGGCCTTTCAATTGTGCAGCACCCAGTTTAGTGGGTACCTCACCTGCGTCTGCGTCTGCTGCGTGTCGCTGTTGGTCGCCGTTTTTAAGCACTTCTTAGAGTCCTTCACAAGCGATGATATAGATAATTGAATTTGGTCAAAAACAATACTTTTTTCACTAATTTCACAAGCAAAACTAAACGCAACTCAAAGAAATCAAATGCGTTGAAACAATTCACTTATTTTGGATCGCTTATTTAATTGTGCACTCAGAGCGTTTTGGATTATTCACTCAACACTTTTTACAAACTGCACCTCTCAAGCGCACTGTGCTCGCTGCTTTCCTGAAAGTCCTTGAAAATAATTACCCTTCTTGATGTCTGTACACTTTTCAAGTACTTTGGCAGAAAATTTGCAAGTTTGCATTTTTTGCTCAGCACACTTTGCACAAACAAATTTAAGTAGTTTAAGTATTCAACACTTTTTTTCAATTTCCAATATTTTACTGAGTTCTTTCACTTTTCTTCAATTATTATCCGAATTTTGCTGCCTTTAATTTCAGCGTTAAAGCGGTAATGTTTGTGGCAGCGAAAAATCTACGAGTTTTCCTTTCATTTTCCACTGCATCGTCTTTTCTGTTTGCCTTTTTCTGTGGGTCTCATTTTGGGTGGACATGCGCAGTGCAGGAAAAGTGGTTAACTATTTTGCTACTTTTCCGTTATCCTACTACTGTCGGTCGATGGTTGTTGCCCTGGCAATTACGCGGTGGTGACAGCGACATCTGTCGTTAGTCGCAAAGTGTTCTTTAAGGGTAGGTTTCTGATAGGGTGGTTCAAGTATAAAAAAACTTTATTTGTAGAATAGGGATAATAATTTTGGTGTTCCATTATCACAAGACCAAAATTTAGGCTCAATACTCAGGAAGGTTATTATTACTTAATAAATATTTTTCGAAATTCTTGCGAAGGGTAAGCCACAGAAAACATGAGACATTCCTAAATATTCATCGGAAGAGTTCAGCAGTTTCGAAAACAGTGTTGAGTTTTCTCACGAGAAAGGCCTGTTTCCGAATCCTGGTCTGATACGAAATAAATGTTTTTCATTAAAATTCATCGCCCGTTCGGAAGCAGCTTAAAATAAATTGTAATATTCTCCATTTTGTTGGGAAAAGATCAGGACGCACAACGAAAATTAGTGTTTTGACTGACGTGCGAATGAAGTCTCAAAACTTTACAGCGTCTTCTCGTGGCGACATCTGACTGGAAATCGGGTTACGCTATTAATGATGATCAATCTTGATGGAAATTAAAAGAACAAAAGCTGTTATGTGATTTGGTCCTCGTAAAGAAGCCTGGTTCAGAACTAACAATTCTGCCCATAGATCATATCGTTAGGTAGGCTCAGCAAAGGCTTCGGTTACTTATCAGTAATCTCAGTAGTTGAACACGGATAAAGTTAAAAAAATATCAAGGTTTTTCACACTTCTAGAATGCCGTGCATATGGCAAAAAAATAGTGCTGTGCGAAAATTTAAAGAAGAATTAGTACCCAAACAATGCATGAATCTACAAATGAAAGCGGTGATCGTCTTTTTAACTTCGCGGTCTCCAATGGCTTAACTTTTAAATGTACAAGATTCCACCGAATGAACATACACAATGCTACCTGGAGATCGCTCGATGGAAACCATTCCAAGAAAATCGACAAATTCTATAGAAATTCGCAAGCAAAGAGATGTGAAAATAAAAAATATCGACATATCGTTTTAGAACCTATTATATATGAAACCTAAATCAAAAGATATACTAAGGAATCGAATTTCTGCAACCCAGACGCGAAGGAGATCTAAAACAACAATGAGAAAAGTGTAGAAAAAAAAGCCGAAGGAATCTTAGGCTTTGCTTTGAAGCTCTTTATTTGTGGTTCCATGGAGTTAGCCGAATACCTAATGGCAAAAGAACCCGTTCAAAGAAAAACTAAGAACCTGAGAAGAATAGAAGAATAATACTAAAGCTTACAAAAAGTAGAAAGAAGTCATCAGAAAAAATAGAAGGCTGCAGGGAACAAGAAGGTTTTGTTGTGTATTTTGTAAATGTGGCAAGGAATTTTCTGCTAACAATTGTTCCACTACTCTCGAACTCTCAATTCGTCCCTCTGATGGAATCAACAGCTTAGAGGCCCCCAGCGACGGCCAACAAAAGAGAAATTGTATTTAATAAAGAAAAGTTGCGAGCACAAAAATCAATAGTGACTCCCCAGAAGCTCCAAAGGTTTGGTTGGAGATTACCGCCTGTTTATTTCTGTGACGAATGAATTTGAGATTTGATCTTGAGAAGCCTGTGAAAATCCTAATTTTTTGTCAATGTGGGCATTGGTTTCTTAGGATTGGTTTCTTAGGGATGACTACAGGTTTTCTAGGAGATTCAAATTAGAATCATTTCTGAATGGAAATTATGAATGGCTTGTAGAATTTGTTAAGAGTAACTTTACTTAATCCAACGCAACTCCTGCTGGCAAGAGTGATCATGGCGGATTGCGATCACTTCTTCAAGAGTTGACAAGATCGGGAAATTCTTCCTTTAAAAAATCGACAGTTTTGTTGCTTGACTTGTGTGGAGCGTCATGTTGAAATTAAACGTTGTCTAAATCAATTCTATACAAATGGAAAATCTTTTCAACAATAAACTTTAGGTTTTCCGAGCTTTTGCTTATTGACTTAGCCATTGAGGTGGAAATGGGAAATGGACTAATGAGGCCAACAAGATGATTTCTTCGATGAATTCCTGATCGGTTTCATGTCACCAATTTACTTGCGAAAATAAATAAAGAAAAATAAGCTCCTGCTGGTTACAATGATGTAAAAGAAGCCCTAGAAGAGCAAGGCTTTAATGTACGGGCGGTACTAAACATAATTAATATCTTCTTATACTCAAGCTCAGCTCAGGTTCAGAATAATGAAACCCATCCAACTTATAAATTAAAATATTCCTTACACCGCAGAGTTAGAACCACTAAAATGAAAGGGTCTCGTAAAATATGCGAAATGTCAGAAATTTGGGTACACCAAATACTAAAAACAAGGGGTTGACCTAACCTGGGATGCGATATATTGTCCGCCAAGCTTGGAAATAACAGAAAGTCAGTTTAGAGACTTTCTATAACACCTGGAGACATATTTTTAGCCAAAAGGTCGCCAATTATATAATACGATCATAGTTTAGCTTAAGATTTAATTACTTATTTCTAGGCTTCTGATTTCGAAGCAGATTCAGTAAATAAATAATAACGTTATTAATATGAAGATTGGAATTTAAGCATGATCTGCGCAATCGATAAAAAACCAATTACCGTGGGATGATGTGAAAGACTGAAGCCAACCGTCAACAAACTGATTGGACCTTATCAGTGTGTCTTCAGACCGGGTAAGTAAACCATTGACCAGAAAAGATCCGTGAAAAAAGGATCCACGCCCCACCTCTTTCGCGATTTTAAAGCCACCTTCGGCAGCACGAATAGGAGCTGCCTTTAGGCCGCTATGTCTGAATTTGCTAACCCCGCAGAACTTATACGGACGTTCGATACCAAGAGGTTTCTGACAGGGTCATTCCTTATCATGCGAACTTATCAACTAGTTGCTGGAGAAAACATTACCAGCTGCAGAGCTGAATAGAGAAGGTACAATCTTTTATAAGAGTCTACAACTGCTGACGTACGCCGGTGATATTAACATTATCGGCCTCAACAACTGCGCCGTTAGTTCTGCTTTCTCCAGGCTTGTTAAAGAAGCTCAGCGAATAGTCTGGTAGTGAACGAGGACAAGCCGAAATATTTCCTGTCATCAAACAAAAAGTCATCGCATTCGGGACTTGGCTCCCATGTCACTGTGGACAGTCATAACTTTGAAGTCGTCAATCTAGGAACCAGCATCAACACCAACAATAATGTCAGTCAGACTGAGTAGACAATTGAAGAGTAAAGTCCTCTCTCTGTGAACGAAAACCAAACTGTACAAGTCCCTCATCGTTCCCGCCCTGCTATGAGGTGCGGAGACATGGACGATGACAACATCTGATGAGTTGACGTTAGGAGTGTTCGGGCGAAAGGTATTGCGGAAGAATATCACAGACGATGGAACGATGAGCTGTACGAGTTATACGGCGATATTGGCATAGTTCAACGAATCAAGAAGTAGCGGCTACGTTGGCTAGGTCAATTGGTACGGATGGTTGTAAAGTTGAAAGTTTTCGATGCAGTATCCGCCGGTGGAGGCAAAGGAAGAGCAAGATCTCTACTCCAATTGGTATTTCCAAATGGTGCCAAACCGCGAACAGAAGAAACGAATGGCGTAATAATGTTAAATTGGCTATAATCGCGATGTCTACGCAACCAAAGTAAGTAATTAATTAATGTTATAAAAAAATTCTAACATTTCAAAGACTGACCATAATCATCGAAGACACGACGTTATTGATGCTCGTCCAGTTTGAGTTCTCGTGTTAGCTCAATTTTGTAAGACGTAGTTATTAATCTAAAACACGGTGTAACGACGCTTTTGGAATATGAAATCCAAAGAATGGTGCGGAACGGACTAATCTCGTTCATCTTCAACACTCTGGACTACAGCAGCAATATACTTGATCAACGTGCACGTATTTTATTCAGCACATGACATGATTGTCCCAACAGCACTTTTTCCACCAAATTCTCTATTGTGGTGCGACAAGGAGCTTCACCGCAACCGAAAAATATTTTAACTTAAGGAATCGATTCTGCAGCATTTCATCATTTTTATAGTGAATTTTAATTATGAATAGCAGCTTAATCAAAATAATACCTCTTATTGGAAACACCTTTATATAGCGCAATAGGACGCCTTAATAAAATACAAAACTCGACAAAGCATCAGAATTGAAATAAAACAAAATCTTTAAAAATTATCCAAGATAAGTTAAAACTTTGTAAGAATCATCAAAATATTTATGTTTATAAAATAAAAAAACACTCACCCTCGCCATGTCGTCATAAAGAACGGTATATAGATTGCCAACGCTTAGGTCAACGCTGGTACATTGAACATCATCATTTCTGTCAACTGCGTTTTCAACACCAATATTGACTATGCACTCTTCACCTTCGCCATTTATTAAATACTCCCGCTCTTCCACTGACAACTGCTGCTGCTGCTGTTGTATTTGTCGTTGTTGTTTATGTTGCTTTAGGTGATATCCCTCCAGCTCTTTCGCCATTTCGGCATTATTATTGGCGTCCGGAGCAAGCATATCGTCGCCAATATTTAGTCTCTGTGGCTGCAACAACAAATTACATATTGAGCAGTGTTGTTGATTTTTATGAACATCAGCAGCAGTTACGTTGCTGTTTTTGTCCACAACAAAAACACCTTCAGTGGCATTACTATAAGTGTGTCTGCCAGAAAACTGCTCACAGCAACACACATCATTCACCACAACTTCCATGGACTCAGTCACAACGTCGGTCTCAACTTCAACCTCAGCCTCAGTCTCAATCTCAACCTCAGCGTCATCATCGTCTTCGTCATCTGTGGTGCTGACAATGGTGCAATATTCACAGCCACTTACATTGCTGGTGTAGGCAATTCCTGTGTTTGTTGTTTTTGTTATTTCGTTGGCATCATAGGCATTAACTTCTTGAAATGCTGTCGTAATATCATTTTCTAGCAGCCTTTCTCTAAAATTTTGTTTCTTATTTGTATTTGTTATTATTGTTGTTGTATTACCATTTGTTGTCATTTGCTTTGATTTGTTTTCACTACTTTGTTCTTGTTGTTTCAATGGCGTTGATGATTGCTTTTGTGTCGAGTTGGAACGTTTCTTATTTTTGGTCTTCTGCTTCTTCTTCTTGCCATACTGTTGTTGCTGCTGCTGCTGATTTTCATTTGAATTTTGATTTTGCTTAACCGTCTTTGTGGCGTCACCTCCATTGCTTGTCTTCGCATCATTATCCTCATCCGTTGTTGTCTCTGTGGCCTCCTTGGCTCCTCTAGTCTTCGCCTTCGCTTTAGCCTTTGCGCTTGTCTTCTGCTTCTTGCCGCGCACATAGTAATATTCACATAATTGATTACCATGTTCGTCCTTGAGAGCAATATATTCGCTGCTCTCGGCAAACTTACTCCAAATTTGGTTTGCTGCGGCCAAGTCCTTTTCGGATAAGGCAATGGTTAGGACGGAGGGGTGTTTCGATATACACTTGCCCATAGGTGCTGGCTGAATACACTGCTACTCTTGATTATTATCTTTCAGAAAATTTACCTCGCTCTTGGATATCTCCGTGTCCCCTTATTGTTTCTTCTTCTTTGTTAAAGTTATTTTATTGTTATTTTATTTTTCTTTTTTTGCTTTATTCGTTTTAAAAATTAAAATTTTCATTTTAATTATTCATTTGATTTTAATCTTCCTTATGTTTTCATTTTATTTTATTATTTTGATTTATTTTAATTTATTGTATTTTAAATTATTTTATTTTCTTTTATTTTAATTTCATTTTATATTTTATCTTAATTTATTTTATTTTATTTTATTTTCTTTTAATTTGCTTTATTTAATTTTTTATTATTATAATTTTTGCTTTTGCTTTATATTAAAAAAAATATATTTCTCTTATTTAATATTGTGTTTTTATTGCTGCTATTTTTGTTTTTATGGTAATTTAATACTTCTCGAAACTTCGGTTATTATCTTCCTCACTGCCTTCTGTTTTGTTGTTGTTCGGTTTATTTATTTAGTTTTAATGTGTGCAAAGGCTACTTTCATAACGCTCTCACCTTAGCCTGTCACCAACCGCAAATATACTTTGGCCTTTCATTCGGCGCCGTTATTATGACACACTTTTGAATCTGAAAATTTGCAGCTATGCTTTTTGGCAATTGCTCCTAGTTAATTTAATCCAAATCACTGTTGGCAGTTGCTGTTGACTTTTGCCCCTGATTTAGAGATGATTTTTGCGTGTTACGCGATAACGGTAAAGACTTTCGCTTCAAAACTGCAAAGAGAACAATAAAAATATAGTAATTAGAATTAAATATTTTCAAAGTGTATTTTTGGTTTGATCTAAATAAGCGTATACATATATATATGATATATATAAGTATGTAATTGGTGCTTGGTTAGCACTGGAGCGCTTATTAGGTGGGCTACAAATTATACTAAGCCACCTCTATACGGCAGATAGATCTGCAGAGCTTTTACTTCATTTCAGATATACGCTCGGAGAGCTTGACAATCCCTGCCGATGGCGATGGCAATTAGAAAAATTCATTTTCTTTAATTTTTTTATTGGTCGAACCAGGACTCCGACAATTCAGAATTGCTTGGCTTTTACGGCATCCATAGCCAACCGTTTGTTTTGTCAGGCTGTATTTGTCGAAAACCACTATATTACGTAAACAAAAGGAATCATTGTCTGGCAGGTTAAATTAGGTGTTATAGGGTAAGACCATACGGAATTCCTACTTTTGGGAGCAATCATTTCTCGATGTGTGTTAACCCAACCGTGTGCTTCTTTTTGTCCTTGCAGTGGAGTCGCAGCCTATCGATAAGATATTTACTATGAGCTAGAGCCTGAAAAAGATAAGTGGGAAAAGGAACGTTCCATAGCTTGGTATTCCTGTAAAACCTTTACGGCTATGAAAAGCGACACTCAGCAAAACCACGAGCACTGTCCGGAGTAGAAAGAATTTCTCCGAGCCATTCGGTACCAAACGGAGTTTTAAACAAGGTGACTCATTATTGTGCGACTCCGTTGACCTATTGTTTTCGATAATAATACGAGCTACAGATTTTAAAAAAGAATGTAAAATTTTTCTCCTTTACTACCTACGACATTGCTAATGAGAGCACAGCCAAGCTAACCGCAGGTGTTGCTAATTTCCACTGTTTGTAAACGATTGGAGATACCAAGTAAATACAAGTCCAAAACAAGTTTTCCAACGGCGTGGAAGTCTTCCTCTTCCTCTTCTTCTAACTGCGGGTAATGTATCGAGAACTCTTAGAGCTGGAGTATTCTTATTCATCTGGACGACGTAACCTAGGCACCGCAGCCGCTGTTTCTTGATTCGCTGAACTATGTAATGGTCGCCATATGCCTCATCTAATCGTTCCATCGGCTACGGTATTTGCCGTTCTCAACTCGTGAAGGACAATAAATCTCAAATTAAATCTTTCCCTCGAAAACTGCTAACTCCGACTCATCAGATGTCATCATCGTCCATGCTTTCGCACTATATAACAACACGGCAAAGATGAGCGACTTGTAGAGTTTGGTCTCCGTTCATCTAGAGAGGAACTTACATCTAAATCTCCTTTTCAGTACAAAGCAGTATCTATTCACAAGAGTGATTCTTCTCACATTCTTGTTGGTATTAATACTGGTTCCAAGATAGATGAAGGTATCTACGACTTCAAAGTTATGACTGTTAATAGTAAGGTGCCGAGTTGGGAGTAATAGAAATAAACTTTCCTGATATTTGAAGGTTAGGATCTAGGAACTTAGAAAAGTTTTCAAAAGACGATGGAACAAAGAGCTGAATGAGACTTACAACGGGAATAGTGGTTACAGTACCAAGATCACATCATCCAGATGAGCGAAAATATTCCGCCTCTTAGATGTAGTAGCCACTTGTGGTTTCACGAAAGCGCAGAGCTTCCAACTTGTTGCGTTTCCCTCTTAAAAGTAAAAAAAGGAAACGATTGGCTGGAATTGCTGTTGAAATAATATCTGAACAATCCCTTTACAAGTGCAAATACATATGTGTAACATGCCTTAAAATAGTAATGGCTGAAATATAGCTTCACTTTCATTTTAACGTTTACAAAGGGTGGTCGTTTTATTTTACGCTGGGCAAGAAAATTTATAATCTAATAATTGCCAACATAAATTTAACCAATTAAGAAATTCTCCAAGTCATGTTACGAAGAATCCAACCTTTCTTTTGCTTTTAATATTCCAGAACTTAAATCAAAATGTTTCAGTTTCGACTATCAGTTATTGCCCAAAGTGAATTTAGTATCCTCGCTAGCGCTATGCGCTGGAATACACTGTGGATGTAAGTATGACTACGTGTATGTTCATCAATATTTACGGTTCTAGTTAAATTTGCATAAACATTATTAACAGGATCCTCGTGGTAATTAACCTCATTCGGATACCGTAAAGGTGTCCACATACAAACCTGGTGTACACGAGTGTAGGGATGTATATACATAAATACATCGCAAATCATACGTATGTCTATAATAGGTACAATAATTGCAGCAATTAACGTGCAACAAAGACTACTGTCTAGCCAACGGTAATGTGGCGCATATGCGCGTGTGTATTTGTGTAGGCACAAAGACTCGTGCTTTAATATTGCTGAAAAATTCAATAGCTCATGGGAGTGTAAGTGAATTCGCGTAGGCATGATCAATGAACAAATTTCAAATGCACGTGTGTTTGAGTGTGTAAATGTAGACAGTGAGTTGACTTGTAAAGCATGTTGGCGTGAATTGAATTGAAGTTGTTGTTGTTATGGCAACCGAATTATTTCGCTTCATGCATACACCCCTACACATACATATGCATATATGGTGCAAGGTGGGTTCGCAGTAAAAGGATTGCTGCGGGCATCTATGATATGTACATGTATTTTCCGACTTACATACACCCACACAGATAAGTGAAAACGCACGCTCAAAAACAATTTACAAAACTTGTAATATTACTCATACGCACCGTCAAACTGCAATAATCATACTAACGTACATACTCTGCAGGGAGATGCTGGAGTAGAATTTAAAAATTCTACTGAAATACCAGTATGTTAAATATGTACCAGCAGGTAAAATGGTTATTTTTATAGCAGTTCACCAGTAACGGGGCTAATAATAATTTCCACCATTATATGTTATGGCAGAGTACCACTCCCAGTTAGGCTCTACTGAAGTGCGCATAATGATGTCCTTCGCTTCATCATCACGATATTCGAGTGGTAAGAGTCGATCAACGGTTAAAATTTTCCTGAAGGCAAACTAATTTTTATTCTAATTTTCTTTTATGGTAAAGTAGAGTTTGCCTAAAGGAGCTAGTATACAACTAGTATAAAGCTGATATTTAGCCGGATATTTGACAGCTTGTGTGACATCGCGATGTTCAAAATACTAGTTCCTTTCATGCGAAGAAGAGGGAAGATTAAAAGTTGATGCAGAATTGAAAACTACCACTGTTAACAACCACTTTTTTCCTGCTTGGTATGTATGTACAAATATAAAAGTGTGTATGTATATAATTCTATTTTATGACACATGAAAACTCGACTTGAAGTTAACACTTCGCGTTTATACAACCACAGGGATGCACTTATGAGTACTCAATTGCGAATGACTTTAATGGACAATAATTACTGATTAAATTTCATTACGAGGTTTTATATGTATTTTGAAATATATGAACAGGGACCATTAAAAAATATTTTTTTGTGATAAATAAAAAAGAAAAATAAAGCAAAGGATAAAAGCTTGTCGAAATATTGGCGGGCGCATATTATAAATTTTTATTTCAAATTTTAAAGGGAGCTATAAACTTAATAATGCATTCCAGGTATGCCTAACTGCACCTAATATTATGCTCTTAAAATTGAAAATGAAGAGATCGTGGAACATGCGACCAAGAATGCATCCATTGAAGAGGTTTTTTTAGTTTTTTTTTTTCAAAAATATAAACAGCAATAAAACTTGTAGTATTCGGACTTAAGCATCCCAAAATACCCTCTAAATAATAAGTAAAAAATGTTGTATGGTATTTATTTCAATATTTTTCTAAATATTATTAGATATATTGATTAAGAAAGTCAAAAAAAAAAAATATGAACTGGAACTACAAAATGTTGGCAGGTATATGATTGTTCAAATTTTTCATATATACTGAAGATGAAATTTATTTTCGTCAACCCAATTGACACGAGAACAATTGCCATTTAAACAAACCATGAAATGAAATTTTTTTGCACCGTAAGTAAAATGTAATACAATACAACGAAGAGGTAGGTAAGTAAAGTCTTTGGCTATATTAACAGCGAATGCCTATAAGAACATCGTTCAATTAAGTCTTGATTACGCCAGTAATTTGAACGGACTACTCAAAAATATTAAAAAACTCTCTCGCCGTATTACCGAAATTTCATTTTCCACTTTCACTACATTTCGTCTAATCGACTCATAATCCAAATTTAAATCGAAACTCGGTTTAAATACTCTTTTTCCTACATGATAAGGATGAATTCTGGGTAAAGGGATTGTGACGATTATATAATAATTAGGACACTGATAATCCATTATATACCTGCGGCTA